TTTTTTCGCAAACTCCCATTACAAAAATCTTTTGATAAAAACTCATCATTTGGACCCAATATCATATCTCTATAAGTTTCAGGTGGGTATCATGCTCTGAAGTTGAAATCCAGCATACCGAAAAATCCTGGATACGCCACTAGTTAAGAGTAACAAAAATTTTGCTTAAATGATTTCGAGTTGTCTATAAGTGAATAGTCTTTTGTATTATCTAAACATTTTGCTACGTATATTAGCTTTAGGACCCGGATAGATGAAATAAAATCCAATATAGAAAGCCCTAATGAGATCTCTCATGGTCATAATTGATAATCTATAATCCACTAGTTATTGTTAAAAAAAAAGTGACTGATCAGTTGAAAACGTTATCTTATGAGTTCTGGCCTATATTACAATTATTTTGAAAATCAACAAAAATTCACTGAAGAAATGTTATTAATATCAAAAAAGGCAGAAAACATGCTTTGATTTGTATATTTTTATTTTTTATTTTACATATTGTTTATTTTGATTTACAATGTAAAACACAAAAAAGTCAATGAGTTTAAACGCAGGATCATGCTGATTAAACAACATTCAAAGAAATAAGAAATTACCTTTGTTATTCTTTGTCAAATGATTAGTTTTGTTCTTAGGAAAATAAAACCATGCAGAATAGTGAGAAAATATCGATAATAGAAGAATCTATCGATTAGCGTATTGTTTTAGTGTACAATAAAAAAGTCTCCTACCTTATAAAATTGTAAATAAGAACTTCGTATTATTATTCTCTGACGTTATTTTATACACCGGTTACACTGATCTGATTTATATCTAAATATCAGAGATAGGAACGGTTCATATTTGTCTAGAACCGAATCAAAGTGATCTCATCTCTTCGAAAATATTTGTTTAAGACTTCAAATCGATTTCATTAAAGTTATACAAAATCGGATGTATAAAAATCATAGAACATATGATTAAAATATCTTATCTCTATTAGAATGATTATTCTCTGAGTCACTAATAGGACAGATGGCAAAATAGAACGGAATCAATTTAATTTCCTGTGAACTAATCATTATACTTAACAATTATTTTTTCCCCGACATACTTTCAAATAAAGCTGTTTGAGTATTTTTATTTGCAAGAAAACTCTGTAAGAACTTTTTAATACGGTGCGAAGCACAGCATTTATGTAGTCGTACGTAAGTTTGTTTTTTTTTATACTAGATAAATCATAATTGATAAGATAAACTTTTAACATAAAAGGACAATTCAGATTCATGAAACACGATCTAAGACGAATGTTGAAATATTGAGAGTAGAAATTTACAGTCCCTACAGATCATACCAGAAATCTTAGTAACATTCGTCATACGACAGATGTTTTTGGTTTACGATTACAGACTGTATATCAATAACGCCTCGTTATTGGTATACAAACTATTTCCTTATAGTATTTCTTCAGGATTAAGTAAAAGGTTAATAAAGAAATAGATACAATAAAACAATTTCTCTGTGATTATCAATAGTAATTGTATCGTGTTGCATATTTTAATCCTACAGGCATTGCATTAACAACGTTTTTTTTTTTCTGATTCATTGAAGAATATAATCATAAATAGCAACAATGACGGTTAGGAAGTGTCTTTAAAATCTTTTCAAACTTGAAAGAAAAAAAATGTTTTGGTGTCTTTTTTTTTGAAATAAACATCACATACGACATTTCTGTATGTTTATATGTTGAATGACCTTTCGTATAAGAATAAACTCTAAGGAAGAGAAACAGTAGGTTTAAGAGTATAAATAATATTCATTATATGAAAATATATAGAACATAAAATTTAATAGGATTTAGAGTAAATAATAAAATTGATAATAGGTTGTTGTTGTTTTTTTGCATTAATAAAGGTTTGTTTTGTTAGTAATCAATTTTTAAATATTAAATGAATTGTTGAGAAGTCAACATAACAATGTCATCATTTGTCTGATTGTTAACATCTGTCACAGCTATATATGGAATATATAATTAATAGAAAAGACCCTTTCGTCAAGCTAATATATCTTATATCTAATTTTCGCCGTTATCAGTTATATTTGTTTACATGTGCAATATATTTTCCTTCTAAAAAACCCATACTTGTCTTTTTAGACTTTGTATCCCAGCTATTGATATAATTTCTTGACTATTTATCACTATTATCCTTAGTCAACACCTGTTTGTAATTATTTGTTGACTTTGCTTTTATTAATCTGAATTTTTATCTTACTCTGATAAAGATCTAGTCATTATCAAAAGTCAAATAGAATTCTAAATATGGAATAACATCTCATGCGCAAATTAATCTTTGAAACAGCAATATAATCAATCATGTTCGATGATTCATTATAGTGTACAGAAAAATGCATCATATTACATTTTTTTGCTTATCATATAAAATTTCGTAGAGGCATTCAATCAAATACTAATTATCTTATTCAAAAAAAACATTGAAAATCAAAAATTTTAATATCATATTAACACTTACATGCACGTAATTCTTCATTTCGTTTGAGAAATTTTGTTAAACTATCTCCTTTAAAAAAAAAGTCATTTTTATAACAAGATAGAAAAAAACAAATCATATTCAAACCTGTATCAATTGTTGGTTGAACATTTTCATATTTTGGATTTCGTGGTACACGTTTATCCAAAACCTATAATAAAATAAATAAAAAATAATTTTTTTTTGTTTAATTTTTTTGTTTTACATTAATTGGTGGCTTTGGACGATTTGATGTTATCATTGACATTGAATTCAATAGGTTATAAATTTCAAATCGATTATCTAAAATACATATATTATGACCTTCATATTGACCATACCATGTCATTTATGTCTTTAAACCATCAAAGTTGTTTTGTTGTTAAGATACAACCTCGATTTTGAATATTGACATTTGTATTATTTTCTTTTTTTTTTCAAACGAATTATTGAAATAAAATTAAATATATTAGTAACAAAAAAAAAACATGTTTCTATCTTTTTTTTGAAATCATAATTAATTATATTAATAGATGTCGTTATATAAAGTTCTGGCATTATTCCAATCAATTTGCTATTTTTTATTATTCTCTCTATCCTTTGAACAATGTTCAGTTTGTTGTAAATATACAGTAAAAGAACAAAAAAAACCTTGAGAAATTAATTGGATTATTGTTCTTATCTTTTTATATTTGTTACGCTTATTGTAATGTTTTTTTTTTCACAGCAGAATGACAAGATAAGGAGCATGTAGTGTATTGTATATTTTTTTTAGAAGGGCATCACAGAAACGCTAAATACATGTGTACTTAATTTTATGTTATGCTTTTGTTCGTAATATTTCTTCTATGTATTTATATTGTCAGCAATCGATATACCATGTGCCGCAATACATTCGCATCATGTCAAGGATAGCCAGGACAAAAAAAAATCTTTTTTTTTTTTTTTCTTTTTCTCTCTCTTCTTCTTTTTCTTTCTTTCTCTTTTTACTTGGCCGTTTTGTTGAAGAAAACGAGTAGTGATGTATGTTAGTAGTACTCTATCACTACACACAACGCATGATCTTGGATGTACATGTTTATGTGAGTTTGTCTCGTTTACTTATACGATCATTTTTATTTCATTTATGATTACAAATATTAAACTTGAAGAGTTAGTTATAGTATCTTTATTTAAAAAAATAAACAACAAGGTAAAATATAGCCTAAAAGAAAATTGCACAGATTAGAATAACCGTATGATTGACCTTGCAATACTTAGGCAGAAAAAAAATTACTAATAACAAGCATTACATTGACTGTTTTTTGTCATTAACAGACGTTCTCGTTTATCAATTGTTATCTGTATAGAATCATATGTCTTTTCGTTGCTATTTCTATCCTAACAAATACTTTCTAAAATATATATGCAATCATATAGAAGAAAAATAAGGGTGGGATAAAACTTATTATTACGACGTCATTCATTTTTCTAGAGGCAACAGCAGTTGTACATATGATTCGAGCTGACACCTTACTTTCACTATATATATATATGCATAGATTTCAATAGGTTGTTCTTTTCATTTAAAGTAAGTACACAAAGATAATAAGAATTGATCCTTTGTTAATCACTTGGCCTGTCACTTTTACATTTTTTTTAATATGTCTTATGAATAAATTGTTACAGTGACCTCTGTTTATGAAAAACAAAGTACATTACGTAACAAAAAATGTTGATATTGATAACAATAATCTTAGTATTCGTTATCTTGATGAGAAATCATTTGTACTTTGAGGGCAAAAAGATAAATATTGATTGCTTAGAATTATTCACTATTTCTCAATCACTATGTAATCATTCGATCATTAGAATTGAATAAAAGAACATACTCCAATGTTCTTTTCTTCTTTTAGTCTACAACGCCAGAAAGGACATCGTCGATTAGTATATTCTTGCATACTAAAGCTATTTTGTTCGTTTTTTTTACATACATATATGACGTCTCTCTATAGTAGAATATTATTCTAAGTAAAATGAAAAAAAAAATTGATTATCACGATAGAACGCAAAAAAAAAGTTAAACAAATGACGAGATGTTGATGGATAAAGTAACCCTGAATCAAATATTCTATGACACTTCAGCACATTCAGAATTTAATAATCATCCTTGTGTGTATTGAGTTTTTTTTTCGTCCTTTTTATACAAAAAAAAAAAAAGAAAAAACGTCATTTAAAATTAGAAGAATACAAAAAAATCTATTGACATTAAAAAGAAATCTGTTATATGAGAAGTAGCACAATTATTATTTTTTTCCTCTCATATCTACATAACCATATATATATGTATATAGCATATTGTATTATATAACAGGTGACATATTGCTATTTTATGATCTTGCAAGTTTAGGTCATAAACCTTGAATTTTTGAAAGAAATTATTGTTGTATGTGATGTGAGAATTGTCAGTAGTAATATATTTTTTTTTTTATAGATTAATAAAATTCTAATTTCATGTCAGCAGATTCCGATCATCATCGACCATCATTTCGTTTTCGTGATAAATTTTCACGTCTTAAAGATAAAGTTAAAGACAAGATTAAAGATAAAACTATTAAACATAATATTACTTTAATTGTTCATCAAAATTTAACAACAAATGATACAGACGATCATTATACTCATAGTACTCGTCATGGTTTTCGTCAACAGATGCATCATATGAAAGATGTTTTCAAAAATAAAACTCATTATAATGAATTTAAAGAGAAAATAAAAGAAAAAATTGATGATAAATTAGATTTACATGATAATAAAACATATCCAAAAGGTTTTTATGATTCATTATTTAGTCCCGAAACTGAGAATGATGTGTATTTACAAACTGCACTTATGTGTTTATGGGTTATTGCTTTATTATGTATTATACCAACAATAATAATTATATTTTTACCATCAAGAAAAAAGAAAGCATCTACAACTAGTACCAATATGATTTTTTTTCATATATTTCTTTGTGAAATTTTTTATCTTAGTTATGTTTTATTAGCAATGATTAATGTGGCAAAAGATTTTCGTTTGGGACCTTTTCTTTGTGATTTTGCAAATTATGGTTTGTATATATATATTATTATTTACTTTTACACATGATAAAAGTTTCAAATATTTTAACAGAGGAGATATTAGAAAAGATATAATTTTTTCTACGAATATCGAGTTTGTTTGAGCAAGCTCTGGCTAAAAAAAGAAAGAAAGAAGAATCTTTAAGATTTTACTTTTTATTGACTTCAAATTTAACATGATTCACATTTCTATGGCGGAATAGTATTTGTCTTCAAGTGATATTCTTTTTTTGACTATCATTTGTTTCTATCTGTTATTGAAAAATTTTCTATGGAATTTAATCAGTGTAAATATGTAATTTGCATATCAATTGTTCGAAGATTAAAGATCTTTATCAACATAAAGTATATAATTATCATAAGGTTAATCGATCAAATGTCACTTTCTAGTAACATATTTGAATCTTTCAGTTTTAGTTAAACTTTTATATAGTTATTTGATTTAATAAACATTAAAATCTTAAAAATAGATTGAGATATTAGAAAAATACGAAGACTGCTATTTCCATTACTTGACAAGGACGAAGATTATATTCTAGTAGATTATCGTTGTCATCTATGACCTCTTTAATATAGGATGTGATGAAAAGTCTATGATATCTATCATCAAAAAAAACAGATACATCATTTCGATTATCAAATTGAGTTATTTTTCACCTTTCTAAATAATAAATTTTAATTTAAATGAAAACACTTTGTACATTAATGCTAACTCTTAACTTTAACTTTCATAGTGAAGATAAAAAGAATAAAGAAAACATACAGAGATTAATATATATACAAGAAATATTATATATGTATTTTGTATTTTCTAGGCATGTATGTTACAATTCCAATAATGCAATTTGCTCTATTATTTCTTTCTCTTGAACGTATACAAAAACATTTTAATTTATCAATGACATGGTCAAAAATCTTTACTAAACCATATTTAATACAAGTTATATTATGTGCGATATGGATTATATTAATATCATTAGTTGCTACAGTTATGTTTATAAAAAAACAATTTAGTTTTAATTTTTTTAAAGATAAAGTAAATAGTCTAGCTCCACCAATATTTGGTGATGTTGTTAGTCGAATGGTTGGACGTCGTCATCATTGTTCAATTGATGGTCGTTTATCATCTGTATTTAAAACACTTATTATTATTTTATTTATTATATTAATTGTTAAACCAATATTATTTTCACTTGGTTTTAATTTATTAATGCCATTTTGTTGTAAAAAAAAACAAAAAGAACATGAAAAACAGGGTGATCGTCGTATAACAACATTAGTAACAATATTTCTTTTATTAAATTTATTTTTTTCATTTCCATTTTATTTTGCATCAATGTTTAATAATATATTAACACGTATTCATTCAACAAAAGATACATTTACATTAATATTAAAAATATGTTTTATATTACGTATAACAAATATTATATTTGAATGTTTAGCATTTTATATTTTTGAAAGAAATTCATGGAATTTATTACGTAAATTATTATATTATGGAACATGTAAAAAATTTCCAATATTTAATAAATCATCAGATGATGATGCTGTGTTTACAAAAAATCGTGATGTTCAAGAGCTTCTTGATAGGACACGTTTATCTTCGAATGATGATGATGATGATAATAATAATAAAAAAATTAAAAAGAAACAAATAAATAAAAAACAAACAATTAAAAAAGAACCTGAACCAATAACTGAAAGTGAATCTGATGATAATGATGACGATGATGATGATGGAGCATTTAGAAAATCAACTAAAAAACCACCAAAATTTGAAAAAACCAAAACACCAGATCAAAGCGACGACGACGACGATGATGCTGATGACAACAAGAAAACTATTGTGAAACGAAAATCAACCTCGATTAAAAAGACTGTTGAAACTGAAGAAGACGAAAACGAAGACGAAGAAGATATACCGAAAACTAAGACTATTAAAAGACAAATATCATCAACGAAAAGAGTTGAAAGTGATAATGATGACGATGTTGACGATGAACCAAAACAAACTATCATTAAAAAACGAAAATCGAAAATAAAACAACAAGAAAGTGACAATGATGAAGATGAAGAAAATGAATCAAAACCTATCACAACTACAAAACGATCATCACGGACGAAAAAAATTGCCACCGATGACGACCAAGATGAAGAAAAACATACCACTACTATAAAACGATCATCACGGACGAAAAAACCTTCCAGTGATGATGATGATGATAAAGATGAAGAATATCAAACTACGACGATTCCTAAACGTAAATCGCGTCCAAAAATTCGAGAGAAAACAATTATCGAACATTCAAAACCAAAATCAACTAAATCACATCGTAATGATGACGAAATTCGAATACCCAATGGTAGACCTACATCACATCGACCATCATCCGTTACAGATACTCATAAAACAAAAAGCTCAATTCAAAGACATTCAACTTCTACTAATAATCATATTAATAAATATCACTCGAAACAACGTTCACCATCAGCAAATGAAAGTGAAGCTGATACAGATTCAAAGGCCAGTCATACATCATCGAAAATGATCAAAACTTCTGTTCCTCCTAAACCAATAACTAAACACACAACTAAAACTCATTCATCATCATTAGCGAAAGAACAACACAAGCGAATTCGAACTCATTCACCAAACGTATCACATTCTCGACATCGAACAGAATCTTCACCATCATCTCCACATCGAGCAAAACCAACAAAGTTAACTAAATCACATCATACAACAAAAAAACATAGTCATAGTCCATCAAGAAAAACAAATACACATACACAAAAACCCAAAAAAGATCATAAAACTAGAATTCTTGAAATGTCTGACGAAGTATAATTTGTTAGGGTTTATTTTTTTCTTTTGTGTTTATCAGTGTTATTGAGAATGTTTGAAATATCGGATATTAATTCTTTGTCTGCACATCTGTGATGAACATCATTTATTGAAATCTCGCAATTGTTCTTCAGTGAGTTTGGGTATCTTCTTTTTACCTTTTTTGTATACTATTATTTTTTCTTTTTATTGTTTATCATTATATATAATTATAGTGAACACCCAAAAAAAAGCAAATTAAATGCTTCATCAAAAATTGCTCAATATGAGTATTATAATGTTCTTAAAATTATGTGAATCATTTAGATTCATCTTTTTTCAATTGAAAAGTTATCAAGTATTTTATACAATTATTCAACAAATAATTCATTGATTAGATACTTATATTCAAGAAGAAAAAAATGACATGGATCGTTTATTTTTCAATGACGAAGCGCCCCTAAGCAAATCTTATTAATATGCACATCTTAAAAAAGAAAAAAGACAAAGATTATCGTCTATTGAAAGTTGTATCTGCAAGGATATTTGCATTAGAAAGAAACAAATCATGTGTTTAGTAATATGAGACGATCAATGAATGATTTCTTTAATTTATTCTTGTCTAAATATATCAAAAAAATATTGATTAAATCTTGAGTTCGATTGATATATAATCTAGACTGAATCTAATTCATTTAAAAAAAAAACAAAAGGATCATTTAATGTTCGAGACAATGATGACGAAATTGAGATGAGGAGCATTGTATACTTTAATAGTTCACTGTGTTCATCCTTAAGAGAAATAAAAAAATTTCGGCAACATTTTATGTTAAATGACCCTTATCAGATTTTTTTTCTATGATGTACTGATTTACTGAATTTACGGGAGTAACTTCTGTAGGTGTTAATTAAGACATCAGTACAGTTAAGTTTAAACGAAATTATGAATGGGCCTAAAATGATTCCTCTGTCTTGAATGTCATAAAAATTGAGTGTAATGTTAATATGATATTCTTACTGCTTTTCGTAGTAATGTTGCTATGATTTGACATTTGTAATTGGAACCATTGATGGATTAAAATCAGGTCATTAAGTTTTAGAATCGTCAGTCTCTGTTATTTTTTGGGATAATTACAACAAAGACAGGCTATGGATGTAAGACGTGAGTTTATGTTTGGGCATAAATGTGGATGATGTTAGATGTTAGTTGTTTCCTAATTCCCATCCACACCTTTTTGTTTTGTATTCTTATATAATTCGAAAATCATTCATAGAGAACCAATGGAGAAATGTATTTGTATAGAGACTATGATTTATTTGTATATTGTATTAAAAAAAAATAAAAAAATAAAAAAAAATATTTTTTTATTCGTGCCTTATAATTTACATTCTTATCAAAATACAGATACATAGTATTGACATAAACTGTAGACATAAGACCATAAAAACTTTGCTAGCATTGAATCTCTGTTTATTTACCTAAGATATAGCGAATATTTTTACAAGAAAAATATAGAGGACTACATGCTGATGTGTTATACTAATTTTTTTCTAATTACAATCGATTCTAATCGATGTTTTATTTCTTGAGCAGACCTTAAAATATGGATGAAATGTGGGTATGGGCTTGGATATACTCTTCACCTACACCCACACTCGAAAACACTTAGATAATGTATCAGATCTATACGGACAAAGTCTAGACCGAAGCTTGTTGTTTTCTTCTCGAGCTCCGATTCGAATTAAAAAAATTAATATTTTTCCTGATCGTCAACTAACTTTGTTCAAATCAATATTTATATCGGAGATATTTGCTCGAACTTCAAAAAGTTTTCTGCTCTTGTTTGCGTGTGTGGATTTGAGTATGAACTTCATTCACATGAACATCCAAACTCGGCACCCTGAGAATTGTTTGCTCTATTCCAAAAACAAAAAATCAATTGCAACAGACATGATCAAAGGAAGAAAGAGAATAAATACTGAAAAACTAAAAACATCGTGACTTGCTAAATCACAAAACTAATATTATTTGAGTTGGAAATTATATGATACTTTGTTGGTCATGATTTGCAACTATCTGTCCGAGAAACATTCCAAGATATTTATCATGCTTACTAAATTATTGTTCAAACACAATTATCATGAAGAAACTTGTGATATCTGATTTCTTTGGACGTCAATGAATGCTTTGTACGTCATGAGATATGAAGACGAGCAAACAATGCAGAACGAACCTTTTTCTTATGTTTCTAATAGTTTTGTCTGATATTATTTTATATATATCTGTTGATGTCGAGCATCTACGATAGATTGAAAAGATGAAGGGCTTTAGATGAGGTCTTTGTCTCGTTCATGATATTTCTTTCTCAATAGATTCAATCATTGTACATGGAAAATGAAAGAATCCGTTCGGCTATTTCTTTAAAAATTTTACTGTCTACAGCTCAAAATTGAGTAAAACTTTTCAGAAATGTAAGAGGTACACTATTTAGTCGTAGATGTGGCCGTGGGACGAAAAATTTTATCAGATATTCTAAGAATGGAAACGATAGATAATGTTAGAAACATTTTCAGAACGAGAAAAATTATTGATTTCCAGTAGGTAACGAAGCTCCACAGAACGGAGGAAACATGTTTTCAGAAAGTAGTGGGGCAGTATGAAACAAATAGCTGTGGGATTAGAGAAAGGTTGACCACTGTCTCCATCTCGCACAGTCGACATACGAAAGTTTTTAAGTTTATAATTTTCTTGCACATTGCTTGTAGAGACTCGTAGAGACTTACAGTTGATAAGGAATAAAATGAGTTCAACTTAGTTTTATTCTAACAAGTATTTGAACTAATAGCAACCTAATTCCATGCAGTCAATTTATTTTGAGGAATTTGTTCAAAGACTTTTCGAACCATCTTCGAGTAGGACAGCCTTATTATGCTTCACAGTATAGAATTATTGATAAATGTGATAAAATTCCTTGAAACAAATAGGTTAAAAGTGGAGATCTTGTCACAAAAAGTTCAACTGGAAACCTTTTGTCTATTTTTCTTTCACAATAACTAAACAATCAGATACTCTCTAGAAAAAATAATAAAATATGCAAAACAGCCTATGAGCTTTGAGTCTGTCGCGGACAAAAAAAACGGCCTTTTTCCATTTTACTTTTGCATCGCTTTACACTTTGTTTTAAAAAAACAAAATATACCAGAAGATGCAGCGTGAAAAGAACTACAACCTACGAAGTAAAGCTTATTTTATTTGTGTGCTTTTTGCTTTCGAAAAAAGCAAAATCCTGTGCTATCAATTTTCGACGCTGCGAAAAAAATCTTTTTTTCTATGCGACGAGAAATTCCTTTTTTCTTATTTCATCTTTTTATCAACTAGTATGTTTGTGTGAAAAAAAACAAAATATATCAGAAGATGCAGCGTGAAAAATTCTACAATCTACAAAGTAAAACTTATTTAAATTATGTACTTTTTATTTTCAAAAACAGCAAAATTCTGTGAGACCAATGTCTGACGCTGCGAAAAAAAATCGTTTTTCTACACGAACGAGAAATTCTTTTCTTCGTATTTGAATAAATTGTTGTATGTAAATTATAGAGCTTTTCACGCTGCATCTTCTGGTATATTTTGTTTTTTTAAAACAAAGTGTAAAGCGATGCAAAAGTGAAATGGAAAAAGGCCGTTTTTTTGTCCGCGAGAGACTGCTTTTTTCTTTCTTTTGTTCCTTTATCAATACCATTTGTACTCCTCTCGTCATTCATTCTGCCTTTCTTTTTTCTGTCTTCTCGCTTACTATCCTTTCTTTGTTTTCTTCATTTACATTTTATCAACTAAATGTGGCATCTTATAAATCTATTGTGCTTGCCTCTGTATGCTTATATCGCTCATGGTCGTGTTGACCAAACAGCTGTGAATGCTTACGGTAATTCTTGTAAGCACTTTCGAGTGTAACAATAAACAGAGCAAAATTTAAAAAAAGGCATATGTCATTTATCATCACTCTCCATCAGGTCATTTATATTGAGTTTATATCTATAATGGGAAAGAAACAATATAATTGATTTTTTTTTAAATAACATAGCTTCATATATGTCAAACTTGAAACTTGAATTCAATTTGAATTCAAGTTTCAAGTTTGACATATATAATGAATAATATGAAATTAAAGGAAAGTAGTCTATTAAACTGAACAACGAAGCATAACTTTTTCAATGAGGATTATGGTCAACAAGAGAATATTAATCAAGAATTTCTTTTTATGTGCAAAATAAAGTCATTATATCATCCACTTCGTTCCAGTATCCAATTTTTCCTCTTGTTTGCCTAATTAAACGTTTACACAATGACAAATAACTGTTTGTTAGTGACATCATTTAATCTATACGTATTTCTATCGGTCGAACAAACAAATCATTGTTAGTATGATGATGACGCATGACACATTGGTAATTGCATGCACACATAAATCTGATATGATTAGTGAAACTTGATTTTCTATTTTAATAAAAACAGAAAACTCTAATTGAGTATTATCAGTAAAACAGAATGATCTTCCGCCACCGTCATTCTCTTTTGTCATCTGCAATATCGTTAATAACAACAAATAATAATAATGACACAATCGATAAGGAAACAGTAAGATAATAAAAACTTTCATTTATTTTCTTCTTTTATGTCAGTTAATAAAGACAGAATTCTTAGCATTTTGCTTGCAAAAATAAATTATGATCAATAAACATCAAATATGTCTTTTCGTTTTTCACGATTGTCTCTATATTTATAGATCCAATGTCTTTGTAATCGTTTGCAATCAGCTACACATTTCGAAGATCGACGAGATGCTGTGTTTGGTCTTAAATTGTTTTCTAAAGTTAGTAAAAAAAAAAAAAAAAGATTTTCATTTCTCAAGTATATTTCTATTTGGAAACCTAATAGAAATGTAAACTTGAAGTTGGAAGAAAAAGTATGAAAATATTAGCAAATATTTTACAAAATGATCGAACTCATTCAAATCTTATTCAATTGACACTTGAAACATTAACCAATGTAGTTACATATGATGTTGATAGTGATGAAGGTATATGTTATTATTTGTGGTTTATTGCTTTCTTTTCATATGCTTGTTTGTTTTCTAGAGCAATCAGACTTATCAGAAGATATTATTGTTGAATTAACAGGTAGAATTTTTCTTTGGTTACAAAAAAGAAAAATAAATGAAAAAGTTTGTTTTTATAGAAAAGTATATCGAAAGTGAAGAAAATGTTTATGCAGTTCTTGAATGTATTACAGTAAGAGTTTTTTAATAGTTCAAAGATTTTTATAATTGAAAGAAAAATTTTAGGAAAGTGATGTAAATGTTTGTCGTGCAGCTATTCAATTTCTTACTGCACTTCTTAGAAATTGTACAGAACAAGTACAAAATATAATTTTAAAAAAAAGACGTGAAAGTTTTTCAAAATTAATGAATCTTTTAGACGATAAACGTGAAGATATTCTAAGTGATGTAATTATTTTACTTAACTAAAGAAAATCTTTATTTAATGCATTAATTAGACATTACTTCTCTTTCAAATCTTAATTCGTTCTCATTCGAATATCCAACTACTCTTTGTACTTGAACATGGTTTTCAACGTTTATCTGAAATTCTTGTTGACAAATATGGTACTGATGGTGGTAAATTAATAATATTTTCTACATAAATTCAATTTTTAATATCTATTAAAAATAGGTGTTATTGTCGAAGACTATTTATCGTTTCTACTGAGTTTATTCGAATATAATCAATTAGCGCATAGTTGTTTTCGTAAATTCTCTCAAATTTCGGATTTATTTGGATTTTTTCAAACTGCTTTAACCGGCGAAAAATGTTGGTCGACACAAAAAGTAAAAAATGTTCATCTTTTTTTACAAGTAAGCAATTTTTAAAAAATGACGTCTACTAACAATTCTAAATATTCTTTTTTTTATTTCATGTATGTTAAGATAATTCGAACACTTGTATCACCAATAAATTCTATGGAAAATATTGTTGCATGTCAACATATAATGAAGAAATGGGGTAAGAGAAGAATAAAAAGAAAGTAATCAATGGAGTTCATAAGCGATGAAAATATCCCATATGAATAGATTTTAGCACTATCGTTTCATTGAGTCTTGAGTAGAAAATATTAATAACAAAAGCATGACAAGACTTGATCTTCCAGAATGAAAAAGAATGCTTCCATTGTATACTTGATTTAGGGTGTTGCTGAGACCTGCGGAGTCAACTTTTTTGACTCCAAAAAATCCCCTTTTCGTGACTCTCACTCAGACTCGGAGATTTTTTTTCTTGACTTCGATTCCGACTCCGAAAAACTCTGAAATTTTTCAATACTGTCTTTTGAAGATCAAATATTCCAAACTGATGAGGGTGCATTTAACGTCTCAAAGATACATGCTTCTTACGCATAAAAACTCATTTATTGAAAAAACAGCAACGTTATAAGTGAAAACATGCCCAAACTGTCTTTTTCGAAGAGAGTACTTGTTCAAAGGTTCACAAAACTTACATCTTTACTCTTATAAACGTATTCTTTTTACCGATTCTACCTGCCTGTGATATTCTTGGTCTAAACAACTAAGAATCGATGATAAAGGAAGCTGTAGTACTTTGAACGACATTGACACCTTTTGGATCTAATGTAGTTAAGTTATCATTTTATTCGATCATCCAAGCATTGAAACGGAAAGATGATTGATTCATTTTTCTACCTGACAGTTTCTCATCAATCTATTTGATAGGTGCTCTTTTATTATTATTTTTTTGTTCGTTAATATAGGAAAATAAAATGTTTGTAAATGGAAAAAAAGATATTATTGAAGGTTGTAACAATCTTGATTCCGAGTCGCAGTCAAAAAAATTCTCGGTAAACCCGACTCTGCTGGAGTCGAAGTCGGATTTCAGAGTCCTTCGCAGGTCTCTAGCAGTTGCAATTTCTTACTCATAAAACATTTTGTCTAACGAGGAAACTTTCCTAACTGATAAAGTCTGTTCAAATTAATATTTTGCTCATAGATAGAACTTATAAGATACAGAAAAAACTTTAGAAGAGTAAGAGTTCCTGCTGTTGCTATTCTATGAGAAAGGAATCAAGATAACATGTTTCCATAATAATTCAGCATTGGCATAGATTTTCTATTAATTTTGTTGTTTTAATATGTTAATATAAGAGTGTTTCTTAGAGATGGAAATATTGAAAAATCATTGTATAGGGTGTCCAAATAGTCATTAAACAAGAAAATGTTTGAATATCTTCGTTGTTTCTTTGACCAAATGGGCTGATTTTTTTTGAGAATAGAAGACATCTACAGGTTTTCATTCATATATGATGTATGCGCTGTTGTTACACTATGGAGATGTGATGTGCTTCAATAAACATTTACACAGAAGATGGCGATAGTTTATTCCTCGAGTTTGTCGTTACATCAATATGTAAAAAATAACAAAATTAATAGAAGATGTAAGACAATGCGATTACTATGGAAACATTATAATAATACATTCTATTCTGTGATGTTGCACATTGCGGAGTCAGTTTCATCCAATTCCAAGTTCTCAATCATTATTAAACATGGCAGATCCATACGACATTGATTAAGTTCCATCTTTTCTCGAAATTGAGTCGAAACTAAACTATTTGCAATTTGTTGGAATTTCTAGAAATTCTGTCTTGACTCAGTTTCGACCGTAGGTGAAACTCAATTAAAGTTGATCGAGCTCCCAGTACTGGATAGAACTGATTTCGCAATCTTCATCATTGAGAAATAGGATGACTGCTCCAGGCTTGCCGATTAGGGAAAGATGAGTGGAATTTTCTCTTCCTAAAATAGTAGGCTGTTGGCGGAAATTTTTAGCGCTTTCTGAGAAAAATGTTGAATATTTTCTGCGAAATTTTTGCAACTTCTAAAGGAATAAAAGTGAGAGATGGTGTCCCTCCCTTTCCCCTGATCCAAAGTTTTCATACCACAAAACTGAGAGCACTTTCTGCCAAAATTTTATCCTCCCCCCCCCATTTCTAAAAACAATCGACAACCCTGGACTGCTCACATAATAAGTTCTATCTACCAGCTAAAGATGAAGCTCAACGGACTTTATCAGTTAGGAGACTTCTCTCGCAACCGATTGATGACTTGACAATGTTCTGAAGCAATGGATGCTTTTCATTGATAAATCAAAAATAATCATCTTTTATATTCACTTTTAGTGTAACGCTTTTTAAATCTTTTTTCGAAGGTATATTACATTGTTTATGTGGCGTACTCACACTTACCACTGTTCCTACTGATGTCTTAGCTGAAGTGAGTTTAGCTTCATTATTTCAATCAATGTATTTTCCTATATTTGTAGACTATTAATACAATTGGTGATATTGTTCGTGGTAATACTGAAAATCAATGTGTTCTTGGTCCTATTAAGAAGACTGTTGTTAAAGTTCATAAGTTAGTAACTGTTGAAATATTTTTAATTTTTTAAAATGATTACATTTCTTCTAGACCAACATTATTTAATCTCATATATACAATGGTGGCTGATAAGAAAAAATTATTTCAACTTCGAATATCAATACTTTATTGTCTACAATGTTATTTATATAAAAATGATTTTGGAAAATTAATGATTATTCAGACACTTTTACCTCAAACAGAAAATGGTTAATTAGATTTTTTTCAAAAGAGAAAAAGCTCATTGTTTTCATTTCATTTAGCTGCTAACCAGACTACATTAGGTCATCTATTAATCAGCGGTTATTTAGGTAATGATAATGTTGCATCATGGTGTTCCGGTATTGCACTTGCACATTTAATTAATGGTAATCTAGAGTATAAGCATGAATTCCTGAAAGTGGTAATAACAGTTAATCAATCACAAACAAATATTAAAACATTAATGGAAATATCACTTGATTTATTACAAAATGTAAACTGAACAGAATCATTTCTTTTTCTAGATTTTATATTTTGTTTCTTTTATTATAAATAGCTATCGTCTTCATTTCACACACGTATTGCTACACTGATTTTCTTATGTACATGGTTATCAAATTGTTCATTAGCAGTACAAGCATTAATTTCAATTGAAAATAGCATCTCATATGTACGTAAAAGGACAAAAGCACATTAGAGACCTGCGAGTTCACTTTTTTTTGAACCTGGACCCGACGAAAATGAAACTTCTAGACCCGAACCTGATCTACACTCGGTAGATTCAGACTCGGATCCGATCGGGTCCAGATCCGAGCTGTTTCCAATGGCATTTGACACTTTTTATGTATACAATCTAGTCAAGCAAGAAGATTTTAGCTATTTACCGCTTGATTTCATTAAAAAGATCGCTATAAAATTATTTCTTGTTATCTTTCCTCATGTAGTTCTATTCACATTCGAAATTAAATACAAATCGGATCTGATACTAAATCTGAGTATGGACCCGGACCCAACAGAAAAGAAAGTTGGGTCCCAGCTCGGACCCTTGTCTGGAAAGACCGCAGGTCTCTAAGGCACATACGAGCAATTTTTTAGGCCATCGTCAGTTACTCTTCATTCATCACTTATGTCATGTAGAATTTTACGTAGAATCGTTTGGTAAAAAACACTGACATTCACTTTTGTAGCATATATAAGTGTTTCACATATAAAAGGAGGAACTTTGTAAATTTTCCCATATTAAGACGCTTCGAACTGAAAAGTATGTTCATGGACTAGATGTTCTTTAATCCATGTCTGATAAAATCTCAGCTCAAACGGTTGACGTGTTATTAAGTATTGGATGAAATATTAATCCAAACAAATAGAAGAATCATTTAGTAATACTATTATTATTGTTGACTTCGGATCATTGTTTCTTTATATTTCTTGAAAAAGAAATAACAATACGGAATTTTGATTGATTCTGAAAGCTCAAAGAAGAGCTGCAATGTTATACATGTGAGATCTCAATCCCGTTTGTGTTTATTGATGTATATCATCTCCTCTGTTCGCAACAACATAACAACTATATATAGAACGACAACATGAAGTAAAAGCCAAATGTTGGACAATCTCATAGATGATGAGGAGAAAATCCATACAACAAGGTGAACGAAGAGGAGGAAAAGAAAAAAGATCCGTCATATACATATGAAGAAACGGAAAAGATCTACCACATACATATGGTAAGAAAAGGAAGAATCTATAATGAACAATTAGTGAAAAGAAGAGAACAATCTTGTGAATGACTGAGAGGCTCCTTATGATCGCATTTAAAGAAGCTGCAGATCATAACAATACAATTGCAAACTATTTTAGAGGTAGACTTTGGCATATACAGGGTGTCTCATAAATAGCACTACGATAAAAATTTAATAATTGTCTAGTATTTTTAAATTTTTATCGTAGTGCTATTTATGAGACACCCTATAAAAGCGCTTGACTTTTGTTTAGACATCATTTTTTTACCAATATTTCGCCAATTTTAATCAGAAAAAGTAGAATTTGTGTCAAAACCAATAACATATTTGAAGTCAGGATTAAAAACTGAATAGAATAATATATGTTTCAGAAATTTTCATCGCCTTTCTTTTTCTTCGAAAACCTCGACTGGGGGGTGTCCTCAACATTCTCTCTCAAAATATGAATTTTATTAAAATATGCTTTTTATTTTTCAGTTACTTGTCTTTTTGGTTCTTAGTCACATACTGACAAGCTCATATTTACAAAGTTCATCTTTTTATATGCGAATCATCTATATATGCTGAAAAACGTGAATGTCAGTATTTTGTTACCAAACGATTCTACATGACATAAGTGATGAATGAAGGAATACTAACAATGATTCAAAATCGCTCTTACGGACTTTCATCCTTTTTCATAAAAAGAATTTGTTTTTTAAATTGTCTTGTTTTCCAGCTTATTTCACAAATATGTATTGAACCAAGTACAAATGAACGTGAACTTTTGATTCAATCATTATGTTCATTTGCATTAGGTTTATGTTTACTTCCTAGTAATAATAATCCGATACAATCATATTCTACGTAAGAAAACTATTTTCTAAAAATTTATTTGAGTTTTTATTTTTATTTTTCTAGTGAATCATTCAAACAATTAATAAACAAACAGATTGGTATTAATTTATTTCTAGAAAAACTAAGAATAATATCAAAATCTGAATTTTATATAAAAGCTTTAGAAAAACCACAATTAAAATTCTTAGTATCAAATGAGATGATATTTGATCATGAATTTGCTCATTTATATGAAACTCTTCAAAGTTCTATATCAAATATATTAACCAAACAAGAGATAATTTCAACAGATAATTCATTTATTGTTCCAACATGAATTAGTTCTGATGATCAACAAGTATCAATAATGATGACACATGAGAATGATTTAATTCAATAAAAGGATGTACAAATAAATATATAAAAAGAAAAACAATGAATTGAAGAACATTATATAAATAAAAAGAAAATTTTTGGTTTAGAAGAACAATAAAAGAATATCCAAAATGGAGATACTTTATTAAACAAATGATACAAACATGATTTGTTTTAAAAGCAAAAAATGTTTAAAAAAACTTATCTTTTTAAATTTGCATTTTTTCAAATTTCTGTTCAGAATGCTTATCTTCTATGTATTTCGCAGCAATATTCCAATCTAGTGCAATTTTATTCTTATGATTTGTGTTGGTCACACGAAATCATTTTGTTTTAGATGTGTACCTTTTCATTCTTTTCAACTCGTGTTGTTTTTTTCTCATCTTCTTGTATGTCTAGTCGTATTTTGTACATATAAAAAGAAATGTGTACGTTACTATTCTGTATATGTTGTTTATACGGTATTTTTAAGAATAATAAATATATAAAATAATATTAAACTTTAAAATTAACGTAGATAAAGTTGCTAATGGATTTGCAATTTTGATGAAAATATTTTTCTACAGATCTGTGGCAAACAGAGCACAGGATAAAGAATATTTCATAGGTCTCAACATGTAATAAAAACTAGTTTATATGCAAAACAAAAAATAAACTTGAGTCGAATACGATTACATGAAATTCGAGAATATTGGTTCATTCTGCTGAAAAACAATTTCGGAAGAGAGGATCGATTGGCTCCTTTCATCTAAAGCCGCCACTGATTTCGAGAGAGCACATTATTATCGAACTATCGATATCAATTCAAAATAGTTTTGTAAATTATTCAGACATTAGAAAAACATTTCTAGGGAAAAACATGATTACATTCGTTTCTTTGAAACTGTACCGAAAACATATACACAGTAGATATATACTTTATTTGATTATAGTTTTGAACAGCGGGTACCTATTAACCAAGTTTCTTCATAAAATTAAATAATGTCTCCTCTTATCTAAAATAAGACGGATTTTTAGGAATTATGTTCTCATGTATATATATGGTTAATATTTAATTAATATAATGAGTTCTTTCCTCAAAGAGAATCTAAAAACAATACCTATATAAAAAAATTATGCAAGTTAAAAATAAGACTTGCAAACAGATCTATTGTATTGTTTTTTGGGAACACAAATAGTCAATCATGCTCGAAACGTTTTGACTTTCACTATAAGGTCAAATTCGTTAGTTTTTCTATAATCTGTAAGCGTAAACGAAAATGCTTTGCTGATTAATCAACTAAAATATAATCAATAGATTATTTCTATATTAAAAATAAGAAGTACTCCCAAAAGAAACCTATAATAAAATGTCAAAAAAGATTTCAAAGAGTAAAATATTAGTTTATGCGCAAAAACATACATAAGAGAAAGATCGAATCGAATGTTATTAATCAAGTCATAAATATGTTCTAAAAAAAGGAAGAACAACAAAAGAAAAGTAAACAAATACAATAGCGTTATTTTTTATGACCTCTTTTATAATAAATTAGAAATTTCGATTTAAATTAACTCGTGTAGTTGCGCTAATAACAATCAATAATTTCTAATCTATGTCTAATGTATGAATATGATGCATAAATGGCATAGAAAACAAGCAAAGGTCAAAAGTACTTTATGACAATCTGAAATAATTTTAGAATCTAAATATAATAATAAGATAATCTATTTACATTTAATATAATTCTCTACTTTTCTTGATAATCTGTCGAGATTATCATATTTTAAGTAGATTGTATGAAAAAGTATTCTAGTATATTCTAGCGAAATTTCGAATAGGATAATCAGATCAGTACGACCTGATGAGAAAAATTCATTAGATTTATAATTTAAAGGAGTTTTTTTTTACTTTGTCATCTTGTTTTTCCCTGAACTCAAAATACGAAGACATTTTTTTTAAATACTCAGATCATCATTGATATTTAACTTAATTAATCTCAAACTTATAGATAATTGAAAGTAAATTAAAACAAACTTATTTGAATGAACAGAAGAACTGACACTACCGATTCATCTAATGTTTCATGATAAAAAATCTTTTTTTCTTCTCTTCGAACGGATATTAGACAATACAATTTAAAAAAAAACGGAAAAAAAGATGCCTTATAATGGAAGAGTAAAATCTTTTGTCATTATGTCAGAAGATGAATTTCTCTTGTCAAATAAAATTTTTTCAATACTTATTAACATCAAATCACATAGTGAGAAGTACGACTTTAATTAAATTTAGATAACGGAAAACTACAGGTAATCTAAAAAGTATCCGGACACCTATCAATTTTTTTTTGTATTTTTGCATTTTGTATAATAAAAGTCAAATAGTGTTTTATGATGATAATTGATTATTTAATAATAAACCTCCTCCTATAATAGAAGTCCCTCCCATATTAAGAGCCCGTCCCCTATTAGAAGCCCACTGTGGAGAAGTTGATTTGCTGGACATTCAGAAGCCCACCTTATTTTAAAAAATTTTTGAAATTCTTTTGGAAACTTTTATCAGTGTTTTCAGAGCGAAACTTTAAAAATTGCAAAATTTTAAGGTAAAAATGTGGTAAATTCTTATTTGTCAGTATTAAAATTGCAAAATCTTCTTGAAAATCCTTCGAAAAACCAGTAAAAACTCTGAAAATCCTTTTAAGATTTTTATAAAACTTTGGTACTTAAAATCTTTGAAAAATCATAGAACATAATAGAAGCCCCTGGGGGCTTCTATTATGGGATGGGGTTTACTAATGATGTTATTAAATCACATGCGACAGTTAAGATGAGTTCGAATTCTATTCTTATTATCATTTGTCTCCTTGATATTTTTTCAAATTATAAATAAATAAAGACTCAAATGATGGAAGAATGAATTTTGATCTATCCACAATTTATAGTTATATGAAATTACTAAAGCGATATTAGAGTTAGAAATCAAACGAGATTTACTTATATAATCTTTCGATTTTATTTATTTATTTATTTTTTATCATGTTTTCACAATCAAACTTCTGTTGAACTTGTAGTGTATTCATGTAATTGAGTAAAATCATAAGTAAGTGCCATTTCATCTGGTGTTGCTAATTTCAATTGTGGATTTTGAAATGCTTTGACATAAAATTCAGATTCCGATAATCTTTTACGTATGTCTTGGAATGATTTTATGTTTATCTCTTTACATATCAATTGTTTAATTGAATCACTAGAAATAAATAAAACTCAGGTAAATTCGTAGAAAATAATTTTCTTACTTAGAATATGATCCTATTTTATTATATGAAGATATGCATAGACATAATACAAATGCACATAATGATTGAATAAGACGACCACGACCGTCTGTATCTGAGTCAAGACATACTTGTGAAATCAGCTTCAAAAAAAAAATTAAAAAAAAAATTCTTTTTATAAAATATGTTTGATACATATGAAATGTTATTTTCGATTGAAACAAATGTTTCTACTGCTAATGAACAGTTTTCTAGCCATGTGCATAGAAAAACAAGTATGCCAACACATGTATGAAATGACGACGATGTCTATTCATAATAAAAAACATCAAATATATTAAATGAAATGATTTTTTTTAATTTACATTTTTCAGTAAATCACTTGATAATTCCATTAATGTTTTACCATTTATTGGTGATTGATCAATCGATATTACCATCTTAAGCATTTCTTCTTTATGTGCTTTATCGAAATGACCACCAATTAAACATGAGAATCCAATACTAGAGCACCATGATGCCACAGCATCATTGCTAACATAACCATTAATCAACAAGCTACCTAATGTATAATGATTAGCTGCGAAATAAAGTCAAAAGAATTATTTTTTCTCTTTTGAAAAAAAAATTAATTTACCAATTTCACTTTGATATGAAAGTGTACTAATAATCATGCTTTTACCAAATTCATTTTGATATAAATAACATCTTAAAAAATAAAGT